GCAGAGATTGTCTAAACAGAGAGGAAATCATGACCTCTTTAATAAATCTATACACACACCTTGATCCTACCTCACACCCTACACACAAAAAAATTATTTAAAGTGGATCACTGACTTAAATATAAAACAATGAAGAGACTATAAGAGGCCAGGCATGGTGGCTCATGCCTGTAATCCCATTACTTTCAGAGGCTGAGGCGGGAAGATTGCTTGAGCCCAGGAACTCAAGATCAGCCTAGGCAACATACTGAAATCTCATCTCTACAAAAAAAAAAAAAAAAACATTAGCTGGGCCCGGTGCTGCACAACTGCAGTCCTAGCTACTTGGAGGCTGAGGTAGGAGGACTGCCTGAGCCTGGAAGGTCGAGGCTGCCGTAAGCTGTGATTGTGCTACTGCACTCCAGCCTGGGTGACAAAGTGAGATCCCCCAACTTTTAAAAAAAGTCTAGAATAAAACACAGGAGAATATAGTCATTATCTTGGTCCAGGCAAACACTCCTCAAACAGGACTCAGATCAACTCAAGTCAATCTTCATGCTCTTTAAAGATTGAGACGCAATCTTTATCAATCTAAAGACATGTTAGCAGATGACAACTGACCTTTCTAAAAGGATTTCCATGATCTACCTAGCCCTGGCCATTCCCAGAGTTAATAGTTCCCACCAACTGCAAAGACCAGCAAAATAACTCACAATATTACTGCTATTTTTAGGCCCCACCTGGCTACTGCTGCTTTATCACCTCTCCACATGCATCACAACTGCCAGGACTCTATGATTTAGTTGGTGCAGATCCTAACCCAGTTTCTGTATAAGTATGGGAGCTAGTCCTAAACTAATCAGAGCACCACATTCCCCTGGCCAGTGTTTGGACTATGATGGGTAAATGAGCCAATCAGAGCCAACCAAATTCAATTCTGATAATTATATTAGAACTGTTGAAAAAGATAATCACTCTTTTCTCCCTGAGATTTTAACCTGGAAAGAAAGCAGCCTAGAGCTTCTGGAGTCCACTATGAAGAGACAGCCTACTTGGGAAAAAAAAATTCAGGAAGATTCAAGCCAAGACATGGAGACAGAATTCATCTAGATAATATCTTTTTGTCCCAGGATCTATCCATCCCTGAAGCTAATTATACCCATGAACTTTTTAGTTATAAATTAATTAAACCAATAAATTCCCTTTAAAAGAGTGAAAAGATAGATTGAGAAAACTCATCTACAATATACGTATATATAATATACATATATTTTATGTGTATATATAATATATAATAGTTTATATATACATGTGTATGAACCTAGATGTAGAAATACACATACATATAATAATGGACAAGTAACCAGAAAGAAACCCTTCATTAAAAAAAGAAACAGGCTGGGCTCGGTGGCTCAGCCTGCAATCCCAGCACATTGGGAGCCTTAGGCGAGAGGAATGCCTGAGCCCGCGGGCTCGAGACCCACCTGCTGAGGCAGAAGGATTGCAGGAGTCCAGCAGGTCGAGGCTGCAGTGACCGGGAGCATGCCACTGCCCTCCAGCCTAGGTGACAGAGTGAGACTCCAACTCAAAAAAAAAAAAAAAAAGAAACTGTAGGCCACAATGGCTTAAGCCTGTAATTAATCCCAGCACTTTGGGAGGCCAAGGTGAAAGAATTGCCTGAGTCCAGGGATGCAAGGGAAATTTGGTGAGACCCTGTCTTTATGAATTAAAAAAAGTATTAGCCAAGTGTGGTGGCGTGTGCCTGTATTCCAGCTACTTGGTAGGCTGAGGTGGAAGGATCGCCTAAGCCCAGCAAGTTGAGGCTGCGGTGGCCATGAGCATGCCTGGGCAACAGAATGAGACTCTGACTCAAAAAAAAAAAAAGAAAAAGAAACATAGCATGAGTGAAATTCTTCAACAGCTGCCCTCGTAAAAAAATGAACACACAAAAAAGTACTCAAAATCATTACATATCAGGTAAATGTAAATGAAAACCACAAACAATATCACCACACCTTCTGCTAACTGGGTAAAATAATGGCCAGAGATGTGGAACAAATGGAACTTTCATATATTTTTTTGAGGACTATTGGTTGAATAAATATTTTTGGAAAACTGGAGTACCTACCAAAACTAAACTTAAAAGTCTACCCTATGATTCAGTACATTTATTCCTGCATCTATAGCATATACCAAGAGGAATAAGTCTACTAAAAGAGCAATTAAAAGGCAAACTAGGCTGGGCTCAGTGGCTCAGCCTGTAATCCCAGCACTTTGGGAGGCCAAGGCGAGTGGATTGCCTGAGCCCGCAGGTTCGAGACCCACCTGGCAACTTGGCGAGACCTCGTCTCTACAATAAATCAAAAATTAGCCGGGCGTGGTAGTGCGTGTCTGTAGTTCTGGCTACTTGGAAGGCTGAGGCAGAAGGATCGCCAGATCCCAGCAGGTTGAGGCTGTGGTGGCTGGGAGCATGCCACTGTACTCCAGTCTGGGCGACAGAGTGAGACTCCAACGCCAAAAAAAAAAAAAAAAAAAAAGGCAAACCAGACATTATGTTAAGCAAAGAAGCCTAACACATAACTCCACAATATATCTTAGCATTTATATGAAAACCAAGAACAAGCACACCTAATCAATTGCGACAAGAATCAAAATGTGATTGCCCCTGTGGATTAATTAGTTATTGAGGAGGATGAATGAACTTACTAAAGTCCCAGAAATGTTCTGTTTACCAGGATGTATACATACGTGAAATTTCATCAAGCTGTACACTGAAGATTAGTATACTTCATGTTGCTAGATGTACACCTTAATAAAATAGTAAAAAGTGAGTAAGGGGGAGGGGCATAGTTATATTTTTAGAGATAAGGAGAAAATATAATTGAAGGAAAAAGGGTAGGTAAATGCACCCAAAGCAGTTCATATTAAAAATTTAAAAAGTAAAATATTCCCTGCTTGAAGGTGTCAAAATAAATCTTCCTCAACTAAAATGGAACGACACACTGTCAATGTTTACTTCAATTATATCTAGAATAATTTTCTTCAATGCCCATAGCTTTTCTGGCTTTTGAGATCACAGTAGGCTTGCGAAGATGTCTCTCCCCATGAGCAGAGCAACATGATGGGATTTGACTCTATACATGACAACAATCCTGCTCCAAATTGTGCCAGCCCTCTGCAATATCAGCAAAATGACAGTACCAGAGATTGCCAAAAAATTCAAGCTGTGGGTGGAATGTCTATAAAGTTGCCACCTCCAAAGAAGCTGAAGATACTGAAAACTGAATGTTTAGTTTTAAGTAGTAATCAGTGAATTCAATAATCAGAAAAATGACCCAAAAACTAGAGCTGACCAGGCCCCTATGCATCTGTCTCCTTGCCTACTGGCCCCACTGAATGGAGCATAATGGCTTCTTCCCTTATTCCTTCCAAATCTTATACAAACTCTTGCTTTAGATGACTCTAACCTAGAACTGGAGAAAGTAGTGATTCTGGAAAATGTATTCCTCAGCAGTTCCCAGGTTAATATAACACAATTATGTTGTTGTTTTTAATCTGAATCTGTACCCCGGCTGGAGTGCAGTGGCATGCTCACAGCTACTGCAGCCTTGACCTGCTGGGCTCAGGCGATCTTTCTGCCTCAGTCTTCCAAGTATCTGGAACTAAAGGTATGCGCTGCCACACATTACTAATTTTTTTTCTTTGATGTAGAACAAGGTTTTGGCAAGTTGCCCGGGCTGATCTCAAACCCCTGGGCTTAGGCAGTCTTCTTGCCTTTGCCTCCCAAAGTACTGGGATTACAGGCATGAGCCACTGCAGCCAGCTAACCTAACAGTTTTTAAACTCAAAACACTGGATCCAATTCCCAACTATAAGCAAGGACAAAGAACAAAATACACAGATAGCATATCAGATGACACAAGACCTTTGCACTTATTAACCTCTGCTGAAATTACTCATTAGATAGGAACAGCTTTAAACAGTTAAAAACTGTAAGTTCTCTTAGTAAAAAAGAACAGGAAAAAATATTGGGCAGGCAATTTCCAGTATCTACCATGCTAAGCCAAAAAAATCAACAAAAACTAGTGTTGACACCATAATGACTACACACTTAAAGAACAATGGGCATTATTCAGAAGCCAATAAAGGAAAAGACCACGTCTGCCTGCATATAAAAAATATACTTAGCCGGGCTCAGTGGCTCAGCCTGTAATCCCGCGCCTTTGGGAGGCTGAGGTGA